AATGATGATGAGAAGTATGATGAGCTAGACGATGGCTGCATATGAGTTGATTTATGTGGCGAGGTAGAAGCGCAGGCTGCAATCACAGATCTTGGCTCTCTCTTTACTGATCCAGTGGTGCAGTGTTGCAACGACTGGGAGAGGAAGAGTTGCAATGGACTGCCGATAGCCCAGTTTGTTGTCCATCAGGCATTATCTGCCGTATTCGTGGGTTCCCATGGTGGTCACCTCTTCCCCACACCGCCGTGGGTCTTGTTAGCTCTGTTACATGTCTGCCTGATGGGCTCCACCACAGATTTTCGTTCGGGTTTACTCCCGTAGCCTTATACCTACAAGGTTAATCCGCAAGGCAGTGGGGCAGTGGTTGGTAGGCGCCAAGACGTGTTCACATTTTACTGGGCCTATGCACCGTCCCTCTGGAGCCCACTCCTGCTCCGAGATCCCCTGCTGGTCTAGCCTGGGCCCGTGTGTTGCCACACAGCAGGAATCTTGATGGTGAGGTTGTATACTGACAGGGGACTTATGCAAGTTGCTTCCCTGTTCGCCACGAAGGCTAGCCATCGGCGGTAGCTGCAAGAGAGAGGAAGCAAGCAGTGCCTGCACTTCTGCACGTTAACACTAACACAATGCTGCCACATAGACGCATTACACATCCCTGTGCACACACACACACACACACACACACACACACACACACACACACACACACGACACTACCAAACATCATAGGATTCCTCCGACTTTCCCTGTACTAACACTGTACAATAAAGTTCATAACAAGTAAGGTAAATGTTTACGAAACTGTTATCATTAGAAGATGTTTGTTAATTTTCTTTATTTTGGCTATACTTATTGTTTTGATGACTTTAAGTATATTAAAAGAAACCACATATTTTTTATTTACTCTATCCGCTACACAATTCTCCTCCGGCACCATTTTTTTTTTTACCTCGCTGAATCCCTCTTCAGAGACGTTTCCTAAATGATGGTGAAAGGCTTCCACGTATTAAGGTAAGTTGTTTAACACATAAATTAAAACGATTATGCAAGACCTAATAAAACCTGACCTAACATACCTAACCTATGGGTATGTTAGGTCAGATTCTATTAGGTTATATGTATTGTCGTTTCCATTCTGTGTTTAATATCATGCTAATAGTGTGCACAAAAACAGTAAACCAAATCGCACATTTCCTTCGGGTGATAACAGTTTCGTAAACGTTTACCCTAAGTAACAAAGAACAGACCAATTGTACAAACGGCTAAGTGAGCTGAGCTAATAAATAGTGGAATGTTAGAATGTTACCTAAAATTTACTAATTAACTGAGTTTACCTTCTAAGAGTTGCGTTTTTATCTCTCATTTAACCACAGAAGATGAAGTACTACCGCGATGTTTCAACTATAACTAAGATATTATGGTGGGGTAAAAGAAGGCGCGACACCAGAGGTTCTTGCAATATTCCTCGTTAGTAAAACACGCCGGGCACGACCCAAGCAGTTGAAATAATGTTCACGAAATATGACATTAACACTGAGACTCTTCCTTAACTTGATATGTTCAATTAGTAAGGGCGGATCCAGGAGGGGCCCCGAGAGTCGGAACCCCCTCTTCATCAGAAAATTCCAATATTTTTCATTTAATTCCACATTTTACTCAGGTGTTTTGTATAGCAAAAGTAATAACTATTGACCTCAGAATATCTTTTAATACCAAGTGCACATGACTCAAAATGGCTTCCAAATGACCATGATATTGATCAGATTAAAAAAGGGGGAGGGCTGGGCGAACCCCACAAAACCAGCTGGGTGAGCTCCTGTGCTCGCCATGTTTCCTCACCTACTACTCCTTAAGACATCCCTGGGTCCGACCCGACTTAGCAACCAGTTAGGAGACAAAATTAACAGGAGGAGCAGAATGATGATGATGATGAGGAAGAGGAGGAGGAGGAGTAGAAGAGGAAGGAGCAAGAGGTTGAGTAGAAGGAAGAGGAGGATGACAGTAGAAGGAGGAGTAGCAGAAGGAAGAGTAGAAAAGTAGAAGATGAGGTAGAAGGAAGGAGTCAGTAACATAAACAGACCACATATAATGACTTATACACTTAACTTAAAAAATATATATAAATACACACACACACACACACAAACACACACACACACACACACACACACACCTTAATGTCTTCTGCCTCCTAAGCGCATAATAAACCTCTCCCCGTCCACTACAGTCTTAGGCACCATTCTGACGCCTATTTAACAACTCAGAAAACATCGCAGTTAGATACGTCATTACACCTTGAGTCATATTGAACGGAACGAAGCTTTGTGAGTTGGTCGGTAGATGGTGGGAATGGTTACTCAGGTGGGGAAGTTCCTCGCCTGTTGTTGTTCAGGTGTGGCCTTCCTGCCAAGTTCCTGTTTCTTTACTTGGTTTCTCTTCCTCTCCCCATCAACTACCTGGCTTTTCCATCTCCCTCATCCCCCAACAAAGCTACCTGGTTTCCTTCCCCACAAGCTACCTGGCCTCCTCACCCCACATGCTACCTGGCCACCTCATCACCCCAAAATCTACCCTCCATCAAGCTACCTGGCCTCCCCCTCCCCCTCACCCCACCTAAACTCCCTGATCTGCTTATCTAATTAAGGTAAAATGAACGTGTAATTTCCTCACCCAGTAGGTGCTAAGTAATCATATAAAGTTACACGAGCATTTTAAGAATTCGTGTTTGGCTACAATGGTTAACAGTGCTTGCTGATTGTGGTTTGTAGGCCAGATACATGGTACAGGCCCGTATCATGGTTTTGTAGGCAATATGTCATCTATAAATGGTGCTATCGTGTTTTGTGGGCCAGATATATAAGAGCATAAGAACATAGGCCGGTTGGGCTGTCCGACACCACTGCCCTTATCGGACACCATACAACCTTACCCAAGGAGGCTCAACTGGCGTGGGTAACTGTGCCAGTCAAGCCCTACTGCAGACCGAAACGCTGTTGCAAATGCCAGCACTACGGTCACACAGTCAATATATGATGAGCCGGGAGGACACCTGCTCCTGTGCGGCAGCCCCGGACACCGCTACACGGTCTGCCCCAACACAGTAAAAATGCGCTGCCTGTGGCGGCCCACACTCCTCCGCCGACCGGACCTGCTCGAAATGGAAGGAGGAATGCAGGATAGCCAAGGCTCGACTTGACAAGAAACTGAGCTACAAAGAGGCCCTCCTTGCTGTACGCTTCCAAGACAAGAAAACCAGTAGAAAGAAAAACCAAGAAAAGCCAAGAAAAGAAAACTCATGAAAAGACACCCGCCACACAGAATCAAGAACACCACGAGGCCCGTGGAGCTGAAGCCCACGTGGTCAGCCTCACTGTCTCCGACTTCTTCCACACCTATGAGGACATAAGACACGAGGAAGACGAACAACAAGGCCCAAACACGAATGAATGGACACTTCAAGAGAGAACAAGAAGAGGAGAGTTAGAAGAAAATCAACATCAAGCTATGGAGAATACCAAGACAGAAGACCAAGACATTTCCTCACACAAGAAAACAACACACACAATCAAGCCGACCAAGCACTGAGAAACCATGGCCCAACCCAACACGCACCTGACGCTTGACCTGACGCTAACCTGACTCTGTTCTGCCACCTCCTTGCCGCGTCCGGGCGAGTTGCTGCTGCCTCCAACTTATACTCCCTCACGCAAGTGGTGTTGAGCCACTGCACCTATTCTTTCCTAGTAAATTCACTTCAATCCTCCTTTATCCTTCCCTGAACCGCCTTCCTCCTTGTCACTAGCATTTCATGTCATATGGCCGGTTGGCCTGTGCATGGCAGCTCCTGTCGAGAGTTACTACCAATCTCTACCATCCATGAATCTGTCTAGCCTCCTTTTAAAACTTCCCAATGTTCCAGCACTTACAACAAAGTTGGTAGCTTGTTCCACTCGTCCACCACCCTATTTGTAGAACCAGTTCCTTCATATCTCCCTCCTAAACCTAAACTTATCCAACTTAAATCAGTTGCTTCAGTC